ATCGGATAAAACCTAAACGATACCCATCCCTAGGTATAACAGAATAGCTTCAGTCTCTTGTTTTTTAAAACTTGAGTATGAACTTATACAAAATGCAGCAAGATATTTATAAAAAAACTGTTTTATTGATTACAAAATACGTTATATCGGATTCATACCGGTATCGGCAGATATCCAAATTTATGATATTGGAATCAGTATCGGACATTAAAAAGTGGTATCGTGCTATCTCTAGTTTGTAGGGCTTTTCCTTTTTGCTGGTGGCTGCAGTCCCCTATCCAAACCTATCTGCCCCTGTGTGAAAAAGTAATTGGCCCTGTTGTTACATCACAAGTTAACTGTGATTGATAACATTTTGTGGATAGCACTAGCCTCAACCAGTCCTGATTACTGTCAGACCTGTTGAATTAGGAAGTGACTTAATTAGAATCTGTCTGAAAAAATTAAATATGCTAAAGGATCTTAAAAATCAACACATCCCGCTACAATTTAAAGGAACAAGAATAGATGAGAAGCAGAGTCATTGATATCTATCAGTTGGGCAAGGGTTATAAAGCCATTTCTAATGCCTCGGGACTCCAGCAAACCACAATGAGAGCCATTATCCAAAAATAGAGAAAATTTTCAACAGTGGTGAATCTTGGCAGGAGTGGCAGGGCTACCAAAATTACTCCAAAAGTGCAATGACAACTCAACCTGGAGGTCACAAAAGAACCGAAAACTGCACGCCTCACTTCCCTTACTTAAGGTAAGCGTTCATGAGTCAACAATAGGAAAGAGTCTGGGTAAAAAGGGTTTCCATGGAAGAGGTCCAAGGAGAAAACCACTGCTGACTAAAAGGAACACAAAGGTTCATATCACATTTCTCAAAATGTTTTTGCAAGACTTTTGAGAAAGTATTCGGTGGACTGACGAGACAAAAGCTGAACTTTTTGGAAGGGTTGTCTCCTGTTACATATTTTGTAAAAATAAGACAGCATTTCATGAAAAGAACATCATACCAGCAGTCAGACATGGTGGTGGTAGTGTGATGATCTGGGGCCATGAATTCTGCTCTCTACCACAAAATCCTGAAGGAGAATGTCCGCCCATCATCTATGTGTGCCATGATGCTGATGCACACTGAGGTTATGCAGCAGGACTAGTCAAAGTCTGGACTTAAATCCAATTAAGATGCTTTAATGGGATGTTCATGTTAAAAAGAACAAACAAACAAAAACTCTAGTGTGACAGAATTTAAACAACTCTGCAAGGAAGATTAGGCCAAAATCCCTCCACATTCCTCCACAGTGATGTGAAAGAGCCATTGCCACTTATCACAAATGCTTGATTGCAGTTCCTGCTGCCAAGGGTGGCACAACCAGTTATTAAGTTTAGGGCAAGAACTTGTTCACACTTGTTCACAATAAAAAATAAGAAAAACAAATAAATCCTGAAGGGAGCACCTCGAGCTGTAGAATGACGATCCGTTCATTCTACAACTCGAGGTGGATCTACCACATGGCTTCTCAGTGGATAACACAAAAAGACTGAGAAGTCCAGCAACCTCAGATTAACCACAGATGAGTCAAGTCAGATAAACCAGCTGTAGAGATAAAGCCCTGTGATGGAACAGGCTGTTACAGAGACCCACAAACACTTGAATCAGCAGATGATTAGTCAACCTTACCTCCAGCCAGAGAAAACTGTAATTTATTTCATAGTAATACCATTTTCATTGGTTCTGCAAAATAAACAGTATTTTTCAGATTGTTTATGTCTCAGTAGTATGCAAATAGCAACTTGTCTGTGTTTTTGATGTTTAGTTTGGATTGACTTTGTACACACCAATTTACTTACACATTTGCTGGGCTTCACATAGTTTTGACTCTTTCGGGGTATCAAGTTCTAAAAAATGTAGAAAAATGCAGGCAGCTTACAAAAAAGATATCAAGTTGTTAAATCCTCCTTTTCCAACTCCACTTGGCTTGCTCCTCACATAAGTCATTATTTTATGCATGTTAATTATAAATGCTATATCAGATTATATTATATTAGAGTAGATTGTTGTATTATATATATATATATATATTAGATATAGATTTCAGTAATTCTTTAAACTGACTTTCTATGAAGGGAGAAGAAGAGAGGAAGCCTTCTCAAAACACCAGCATGCTGAGAACCGAAAGGTGCTTATCAATGAAAATGTGATAGGGGATAGCATTGCAATGACAGTGTGTTGAGGCTAAGCCCCATCCTCCTGTAGTTGTGCAGAAATAACCATGTCTCAGTATTGCATTTCCTTTATGCAAGCACTGTAATGTTAGCTGTTATCGACTGTCAGACCTGGGGTGAGAGAGAGAAGGAGCTCATACGAATGAGACAGCAACACCAAGGTTCAAAGTTAATTTGATGTGTTTTTCTTTTATTTGAAGACTTATTCAAAGTTTAGACTGAATGAAAAAGGAATTAAATCATTATTGAGATATTCTGAAACACGTTCAAGGTTTTTAAGTCCTGAGGAATATGTCAGGTAATGATAACTGATATAATTACCACTAACCTAAATGCTTTAGAGTCACAAAAATGTTTGTAATTTGTACATGCTTCTGGAAGTAATGCATGAAATGTACTTTTTGATAATAGGGGTTGTATGATGGAATTTATTGCAATTGCAGCTTAATGCATTTAACATTTACTATTTAAATATAGTTATAGGTTAGAATTGTGTTGTCCTAGGTATTTTCTTTGCTTTTATATTCAGTGGCTAAAATACTTGGAATATGTTTGTGGTTGAGAAGTCCTGCCAAGAGAATGGTTGGGCATTTACAGGGAGAGTTGCAGAGTAATTATAGAGTGGGCTCAGTCTATGTAGAGAGAGACATACCATTGGGAGAGAAGTAACTACTGAAAAAAGTGTCTGCAGGATTGGTAGACACTCCTCTCTCCCTCCTCCCCTTGTGGGACAGGCTCAGAGAGATTAGAGTCAGAAACATTTTGAAGTGAAGGAAGGCTTGAGACTCAGAGAAATGGTCACTGATCAACACATACTAAGGTAAGGAAAGAAAAGGGAAGAGTATATAGCCTAAAGCCTTCAAGATTTTACTGTGTATTCATGATGATTCATGATGATTAAATGTTATTTAAAACTTAAATTTACAACAACTTCTTATTTTCTGTAAGATTTATTTATTGTATTTTTTTAAAAAGATTTTCCACCTTTCTGCATAATGTTTGGTCTGGATTTTTGCTGTTTTATTTTTATTCTTTTGCTTCCCTGACTACTCTTTTCAGAGAGGAAGATTAAAGTACAGCTGTCCAACTATTTAACAGGCCAAAGCACTGGTTCCCTAACCACCTTGAAATTGATTACAGTTATCAGTCTGAAGTGGACTGCATCAAGCGTGTGGACAGTTTCTGAGACGCCGCCACCATTAAGCGACTAAGCCTAAAAAGGAGGCCCAGGGTGGCCGGCAGTAATGTGGACAAAACGCAGAGTGGCATTTCATCTAGTCAGTGGTATTCTGCAGAGTCCTTGTCATCATCTAGTGGTGATGATTCAAAACTACTGGGCATGTCCTCTGCAGCTCGAGGTAGACCACCTCTTCCTCCACCACATGGTTCCTTGTTGGATAATAATAATAAAAGAAATGAAAGTCTGGGAACCTCTCAGATACTAACTGAGCCAAAGCCTCAGCCAGCTGCACGATCTCTCTTCCAAAGTCAAAGCCCTGTGATGGAGAGGGCCTTTCTGGAGACCCACAAACCCTTGAATCAGGAGGTGACAAGACTTTCTCCACCCCAGCCCTATCCCCGTCGACGACTGGCCAGCTTCGGAGGTGTGAGCTCCCCTGGGTCACTCTCACCTTTCACTGGCCTAGGTGCATATAATCAGAACAATAATGGCAATAAGCCTACTGGCACTGGACCCGAGGTCCAACTCGGCTCATCCCTGGGCAGTAGAGGCAGCACAGGATGTCTGAGAGTAAGTCCACAGAGCTCAGGTAGAACAACTCCAGTCCCCATGCACCTGCAACATGTCCGTGACCAAATGGTGGTTGCGCTACAAAGACTGAAAGAGTTAGAGGAGCAAGTGAAAATCATCCCAATCCTCCAGGTAAAGATCTCAGTCCTTCAGGAGGAAAAGAGGCAACTAAGCTGTCAGCTCAAGGACTTGATTGAGAGAGAGAACGTCAGTGATATAACCTGGAACAGCCCGTATACCATTGAAGGGTCTGAAATTGAGATCAACAGAAATACCAAAAAAGATCTTGAAGTTAAAAGTAGCTGCACAGATCTGAAGGAGGTTGGGCGATTGACCAAAGACATGCAAGAACCGGAAAGGTCCATCAAAGTGGAACAGTTGGGAACATTGCATGAAAAATGTAACCCTCTTCATGACAAAACATTTAAGTCAGTCGCTGTGGGAACTGACAACGATATGGATATCATCTTGTCTAAGCCACCAAAAGAAAACAAATATGCATACACTGAGCAGGTAGAGATGAGGTCCATTGCAACAGAAGTATCTGAAGTCAGTCTGGGAATTTACACAGAACAGGAGGCAGAGCGTGATGCCCAAGAATTAATAAACAGTGCCTTAAAGGAGAGAATTTGTCACTTAGAAATAGAGTTGAAAGAATCCGCTCTGGAGACGGAGTTGATTCGTCTGAAACTGGAACTTCAGGCTGCAGGAGCCAGGAACCGGGTTGACAAGGCCTGCTGTGCCAGACCGTCCACTGTAAGCATAGGCTCAGATGCAAGGCCACACACCAAAAGCCAGGGAGTGGGTAATCACACAGAGCTCAGAGATGCTTCCACAGGCGAGGAAAAGGAGGTAAAAACTGTAGGAGTATCCTGTGCACCTATGATGAGGAGTATTTACACAGGACTGGATGTACCCATGAGCCTCTGGGAGGTCAGGGAGCGAGTGGAGACCAGCGACAAGGCTGTGGAAATGCACGTTTTTACAAACACACAAGGAGTTGGGACAGAGATAAGGGTATGTGATGCAGAAAGCAACACAGAGGCGCCACTGGCAAATCTGAGGTCCAAGAAAGAGTATTGTTCAGTGGCTTGTGGGGATTGTTCTGTCGATGTGACCATTTGCGAGGCAAAGGAAGCAGTTTCACAGTGTATGACTACAGATCGAGTCAGAGGAGTTGAGCTCGGAATCATGGTATCACCCCAAACAGCATCGCAGCGTACCAACACTGTATGTAGTTCAGTGTCTCGCTTTACCAACACCAAGCACGCCTTCAGCACTGACTCCAGCACGAATACGCTCCTCAGCACCCAAGACAAGCACACCAACACCACTCACACTTCAACTAGGACAGTATCTGTAGGCAATAGGGTCCGAGACGTCAGATGCACCACAGAGACCCGAACAATCGGTGTAGGAACTGCAAATGCAGTAGAAAGTATTTCAAAGCAAACGCCAGAAGCGGTCACCAGGGTAACTCGAGACACTGGAGTTGGATTCACAGACATTAATGAGAATTTTCTAGTTGGACTGAAAACTCGAAATATGGCATCCGGACCGTCCCATCTACCTGACCCTGTCAAAACAAAGAGTGTTGGTGTAGGGGAAGGGCGGATAAGGGATTTTTCAGTTTCATCCAGGACACCTGGACAGAATTTCCAGAAACCTGCACAGTTACAGTGGGACCATGAGCTGAACCATTACATCGAGAAGTTGCAGAGGCTCCTCAGCATGGAGCATGGGGACCTGCTCACAGAGGACTGTCCTGATCATAACAGTGGCCAAGGAGATCCCAGCTCCTGCAATAGAAAACCTATGGCACAAGGAGGGACAGACATCCACATGTTCAGTTCTCAACCAGCAGGTAACACAGCAAACCAAAAACATTGATTCTTCATAAAACATTTGCAAAGCTGATACCAAAGTTCCTGGTAATTTATTACTATACATTCTGAATAGGTTGAACAGTTTGCGCTTGTATTGCTTGCATTATTGCTGTCATTTGTATAGAATGACATGGCTCCAGATTTTTACACATTAAAAAAAACCTTTATCTACACAAAGTAGGTGATGCAATTAACTTTTTTTTTTCAAATCTGCAATGTTATGTTTATACGTTTCTGTCTACTATTATCTTACTTTCATGCAGCAAACAAAGACTCTCAGTCCCAGTCTCAACTTTCACTTGTCTCCTCTAAGTGTGACAAAGCAAATGCAGGACTGTGTCAACAGAGCAGTAATGATTCAGAGGTGAAAAGAATGATTAAAATGATAGAACAGCAGACATCCTCTGGTTTACAAGGTAATATTTTTATTTATTTATGTTTAGTTATAAATCCAAATCCTTTTTTTCATGAGATATTTAGTAAATATCCAGTTAGTAGGAATTTTGTCTCAGTGAAGGAAGTTTAAAAATCTTTTAGTATAAAAATATTTTATTTTGAAGCCACTCCCGGCGCCCAGTTTAAACTTGAACTAGGTTCAGGGGAAGTGGCTGGCTTCAGCTGGGCAAGTTCCCTTTTTGAGGGATGCATTTGCGATGTGTGGAATGATATCTGGTTTTGGAAGACGTTGTGTGCCACATAGCACTTTGTGGCTTAAGATCTAAAATTGAACTCCTTTGTGGGAGGAGCTGGTGTAAAAGAATGCTTTCTCTTTTCCACCGAGGCTTTTAGATGTGAACGAATGCATAAAGAATCGTGTGTTTTCATATACTCTGAACGTGACCTAGCTAGCCTTGTAACTGTTTTGCTATACATGCATTTAATGCAACATACTGTGTGATTTGTGTTAAGAATAAAAGTGCTTTGTGCTCATTTCTAGACAAGTCAGATAATGCTGGTAAGCCAAGGAATGTAATAAAGAAACAGAATGGTAACCAGTGCTGTAGTAGCAACAGGCAGAGCATGAAGTTTCTGGGTGTGGCTACAGGGTAGGTGTCTAATGTCTAAACAAATGTTTTATTTCTGAAATGATGGATGTGGTATGTTCATAGATATTAAGCTCTTGTTTTATTGTCCTTAGGCTGGACCCAGTGTCGAATTATGAGCATGATGATGTGGACAGAAAGATAAAAAGAACATTTAGGGAATCTCCTCAAGATGTTGCCCAATCACGAAAGGAAAAAGACAACAAGGGATCAAAAGGAGCTGCGAGAGTGTATACACAGCAGAGGTAATCTGGGAGAAGTCTAAAAGGGTTCAAAGCCAATAAAACTGCAACAATAAAAAGCTTCGCAACAGCAGTCTGCATTACTGTGGGAGTCCTTTCAAATCTGAACTGACATAGTAACCAATAGAATTTGGTTATTTTCAGGCGTAGGATGAGCGAACGGATGTTTTTTGCTTGTCAAGCCTTAAAGACGAACCTGAGTGATGACACAGCTTTATCCAACAGGGAAATGGTATGTTTTGTTTTACTATATTCAGTATGAGAGCCACTGAAAGTCACCACGGGCCTTGTTTGTCTGTACGTGTTTTGATTAGCATGGGTGTGGAGAGATGCTGGGCCATGGTGGTTGAAAGTATATCGTTTCTAAAGAAGTATCCTTGCCATTGGATATGAAAAGAATTCCTCAGTAGAAGAATTTTTAGCCATATCATTTGCTTCAACTTGAGAATGTTTTTCTTTCTAAGTGAAATAGACTACTCACTTTCACAGTAAAATGCAAAATAGGTAAGAAGAAGTGGAATTCAAGGGAAGTATATCAGCAAGGTAACTCTTGACAGCTTCCATTGTGAAAGCTGAAACACTAAAAAGAATAACAAGAACTCTCGACATGCCTTTTTATGTTTGAAATAATGACAGATTCCTCTTCTTTTATGATGTCTTTTATAGAATTGTTGCTTTATGCTGTTTGTCTGTCTTCTTTCATTCACATCCCTAGAATTATGGGAGGATTGTGTCTATTCAGTCCTGATTGCTCTACTAAACTAATGTTTAAAAAAAGAAGTGCTGTTTTTGCATATATAATGCATCCTTTTTTCCTCTTGCAGCAGGACTGTCTGCACACACTCCAGCAAGAGTGGTTCTCTGTGTCCAGCCACAAGTCAGCATCTCCTGAAACTGTAGAGGACTACTTATCTACGTTTCAGGCCATTTCACCTTCAGTATTGCAGTACATAGTTAATATGGCTGACGGCAATGGAAACACAGCTCTACACTACAGCGTTTCTCACTCGAACTTTGGCATTGTGAAGAAATTGCTTAATCCAGGTACATCACCACACCACCCCAAGTACATATTGTTTTTCTCTGTCCCTCTATGTCACGAGAATTAAGTTTATTTCTTCGCAGTCTGGACATGCTTAAAACAAGATTACAGACAAATTATGCTGCCAGGGCTTTTTTTAACTTCTACAAAATGCCGCAAGAGTTGTCCTTTTAATTTGAATCTCCCAGCAAATCAGAGAAACAAGCAAGCTCACAGTTTTTTAGGGTGGAAACGCCTTGTGTAATTCAGCTGTACCGCTCAGAAGCCCATGCATAATCTGGATTTGTCATATCATATGAACATCTTAGTATTCTTTCTAATAGCCACTAGGTGGCGAAAATACCAGCAGCAAGCGAATTCTGTGTGTGGTAAGATACAAAATGCTCCTGTCAAAAACAGGAAAATATTGATAAAAAAGAAGACCCTGGTTTCTTAAACCAGCATGGGCAATAGAATACATTTTTGACTGCTAGGTAGCTGATAAATGAGATGGTGTTTTTTTGGGAAAAGCTTGGAAAATACGATTTTTTTTTTTTTAAATAAGAAATTATGTGCTGGAGATTGCCTTTTGAAAATCATAATAGCTTGTTTCAACCATTTTTCCAGCTGTGAATGAGTATGAAAGGGATCGAAAGGCAGAAACACTATTCTGGACAGTCACTTAATTATTTAGTTTGTCAGGACAGTTTGATATTTGCACTGGGTGCCCGACTGAACAGCTTCTGTGTATGTATATCACTCAGAATATATATCTCTAAGCGCCAGCCTTTTTCTGTGAATCTATATTGCATAACAGTTTTGTCATTTTTAGTCACTCACCACAAAAGCTTATCTGGAACAGGTCTTCCTTACAAAATAAAACTTGGCATTTGTATGATTAAAACAAGTGTGAATTGTTATCAGTACAAAATAATATACATTCTTCTTCCTCTTGCTTGTTTTTTCCACTGCCATCCATTTGACCGCCAATCACTACAGAGGTGTGCAACGTGAATCAGCAGAATTCAGCAGGTTACACGCCCATCATGCTGGCTGCACTTGCTGCTGTGGATAATCCAGACAACATGAAAGTAGTCGAGCAGCTCTTCACTAAAGGAGATGTCAACGCCAAGGCCAGCCAGGTCAGTATGTTCTCAGGTTGTGGGTGAGGAGTGGTTAGCTGGCTCTCACATTACACTATAGTTAAAGTTTTTTACAAACTAGTTTTACAATTTTTAAAAAATTGCTGCAGCTCTCATGGCTTTCATTCAATGTGGGTATTGTCAAAATGATTTATTGCATCACTCAACCTACTCTCCTATGTGATGTCAGAAGATGAAACATAGGAGGAACTGTGTGCAACTATTTTATTTTAAAGCAACTTTCCTTATAAGATGATTGACTGATTTTAATCTTAACAATTTTTGGAGTTTATTTTATGTAGACAGATAAATGTAACTGCTTGCATAAATATAAATACAATGAAAACAGTCTTTCCTTTGTCTTTAGCTGCTTAAAAAAAACCCCGCAGATATCACAGCACTGCCAAACAAACGCCTGATTATGTGCGTCAGAATTCCTCACAAAGTTGAGATCTGCAACTTGTCACTTTTACTGGATATGCACCTCTGAGGAAATGCTACGTCCGAGGCTTGTTGGCTTAGCAACCGATGGCGCAGCTGCTGTGATATGCTGATACAGAGGAGCGGCCACACTCCTACGCGAAAAGATCAGTCCTAAGCCGACTTCCATTCACTGCATGAATCACAAGCTAGAATCTGCAATGCACATTTAACCTTTTATGTTTGATTACATTTCCTGTGTCCAAAAGAAGAGAGAACAAACCACGAGACTGAGAACATTTTGCAAATAATTCAATTAAATGTAAACTTTCAAAAAAAGATGAAAGTATTCATCCAGTGGCTACATTTGTGTTGTGTAGTTGAAATTCAGTGAATCAATATAAGAAAGAATAAATAACTGAACTAGCTTCACTGTCCCGCTCATTTTTTTTCCTTTCCCCAGTCGTCTACTGACTGTATCTTTATATTTGGAGATGTGTGACTCAGTATTACTTGCCCTGTTTCTTCCTGTGTTTGACTCCTGCCTTCTGCTGCCCAGGCCGGTCAGACGGCTCTGATGCTCGCTGTGAGCCATGGCAGGATGGACATGGTGCAGGCACTCCTGGCACAAGGGGCGGAGGTCAATCTCCAGGATGATGAGGGCTCCACAGCGCTGATGTGTGCAAGCGAGCATGGCCACGCTGACATTGTTAAACTACTGCTGGCACAGCCGGAGTGCGATGCCACCCTGACTGACAGTGTATGTGAGTCATTGCCTCTACTTTGCAGCTTCTGTGAGCCCGGTGGCCTCAAGCTGTGAAGCAGAAGCGCTCTTACTTTGTTTTAGATATTATATTACAAAAGCAGAGAGTAACCATTTGTTACAGAAGACACATTCAGTGTGTCAGGAGAAAACAAAAGGGATAGAAATGGTATGTAATTAAATATACCGAGGCTGTTTATTTTCTGTCTGTTATTGTGCGATAAACAACAGAAGCTCTTGTGGTGTATTTTGTGCGTAAACAGGATGAAAGCACAGCCATGTCCATCGCATTAGAGGCAGGACACAATGACATTGCAGTGCTTCTTTATGCTCATGCCAACTTCTCCAAAGGACACGCAGGGGTATGTGAATCAATTTTTACATTAACACACAATATAAATGTGTTTCTGCATCTTTTTTTACATTGTATGCATTTTGGTGTTTGTGTGTTTCTTATCAGGCAACTGGTCGTCACAGTGGCAGGTCTCTTTCTTCTTCCAGTGATAGACACGTCTTTGAATGATGGGATCCCCCCCAAACTCTGATTTGATGCTACATGAAACTTATTTTCAGATGATTCAATATCAAAGCCCACATTGTGTATAACTTTGTCAGTTTCAATCTTGTCAAGAGAATTCAGTTGAATATTTATCTGTCATAATTCAGCAGTTGACAAAATGCTTTTCATTATCTAGTAGCACGGTATGCATACATGTGTATATGATAAGACTGGTCATTTCATATTTCATACAAAGAAATGTGTATTACAGTAAATTTAATATAGTGCATGTGTGTATATTTAAGGAGAGCATGCAAAATTATCCAAAGTCCCCAAGTTAAGATGCACTTCAGCTGGGATGCTGTGTTAAATGGAAATAAAAGTAGATTGCAATGATTTGCAAATCATTTCAACCCTTTTTATTTTTTATTGAAGGTGGAACATAGAACACATGTCAAACCTTTTATTCTTATTTTTAAATCAGGTTATTTTGAATTTGATGGCCAGAACATATCTAAAAACTTTGGCACAGGCCATGTTTAACACTGCGGGGCATCCCCTCTTCTTTTAGCAACACTCTGTAACGTCTCTTTGTAACATCTGGGAACTGAGGAGACCAGCTGCTAGACCCTCTGGTAGAGGAGAATTGCCTCATTCCTATCTGATAGGCGATTCTAACTGCTCAACAGTTGTGTGTTGTCTTTGTTGTACTTTTTGTTTCAGCATCCAAACTCTTCTATGAAGCCATGTTGCTGCAATAGATGCAGTAGCATGGTCTCAGCATATGAAGTATGCTAAGATTATATCAGCAGCAAAGACATTACATATTTTCCTCTAAAACCTGTACATACTTTTCAGCACTGATGGTGCCTTTCCAGAAGTGCCAGCTGCTGTTTCATAGATACTAATGTCAAAAAAACATCAGAGATTCAGGCTTTTGAGCTGCGTGCTGATAACAAACCAGACGATCCTTCTGATCTTTAGTCTGGAGGATGCAGCATTTATGTTTTCCAAAAAAATCTGACCACAGAACAGCTTTCTACTTTGCCTCAGTTCTCTTAAAATGAGCTTTGACCAGAGAAGACAGCTGCAATTCTGGATCATGTTCACATAGGGGTTCTTTTTTTGCATGATAGAGCTTTAACCTGCGTTTGTGGATGGGACGGTGAATTGTGTTCACACACAGTGATTTCTGGAAGTGTTCCTGAGCCCATTCAGTGGTTTCCATAACAGTGATTTCCGAACAAATCCAAATAGTGGCTGTTTTCAATGCCCGAGGGCCTGAAAATCACAGGCATCCACTATTGGATTTTCAGACTTGTTCCTTTCTGCACAGAGATTTCTACAGATTGCAGGAATCCTTTTATATACTGTAGATGATGAGTAAGTCTTCACAGTGATAAATATCATTCTGAAATTGTTCCATAATTTGTATCTTCTAGATACTTCCCATCTTCACTTCTGAGAAACTCTGCGTCTCTAAGCTGCACTTTTTTACCCAATCGTGTTACTGACAAATTCTCAGTTAACCTTTTGTTCTTCCAGCGGTTTCTTTTTAGTATCTCTAAATTTCTGACCTCTTGTTGCCCATTCCCAACTTTGAGTTATGTTGCTCCATTAAATTAAAATTTAAATAGTACAATTTATTTAAACATTTGATTTATTTTTTATGTACTATTGTGAAAAGTTATTGGTTTAAGAGATTTGCAAATCATAGCTTTTTTATTTATTTGTTTATTTTTTATACGGCATCTCAGCGGTTTTGGAATTGGGTTTTACTTGGTGCTAAGGTGAAATTTTGTACTATTTTTAAATCTCATATTATTTGTAAAGTCACAGGGCTCAAATGTGCTGGGATAAAAGTAACAAAAATTACAAAGTGCAAAATCTTGACCCAGCCCTTTCGTACTTAAAGGATCTGTACCTCAGAAAATATCCATGATACCATAGTAAAGTTTTGCATGACTTCATTAAATATACTAAAGTTATTGACACCATACTGTGTACATTACTATAACTTACAGGAATATAGATGCATGGCAACATAGTTTACTATTTTAAATTCATAAGGATTATAGATTATGTTGAAATGCATGATTACTTGTTGTTTACTGTAAATGTCAAAATACCCTTTTTGTTCATGATTCTAACAAAAGTTCAATTCAACCCAAGTGGCCTTTTTATTTATGTTTTGTAATCTTTAAAAACTGTTTATTTTTTGGCAAAGCTTTTACTTTATACTATGTAAACAGGGTAAGAAGATGCAGCATAAACTACTACATATCTGTAGCACATCTTTTTCTACCAATCATGGACAAAATGTACAAATAAATATCAGCAATGTAATAAATAAATACAGTCTGACAGATGACAAGATTAGTCCCATGTTTGTTTAATAGTAAGGAATTTTAAGGTAGCACGTTATTGTGTTATATGTGTTACACATTTGCTGGAGGAAAGGAAAAATGGAGCCTCTGATAATGTTTTTAGTCACACACAAAGGAAGGGTCACGTGAGCTCTGTCATTGTGTAAGAGATTTTTCAACCAGCTGGTGGATTCAAACCCAGTACCTTCTTTGCTGTGAGACAGCAGTGCTTACCACTGTTCCACCTGAAGTATCTCAACCAGGCTCGTGCCTGGCTGAAGCACGAACACTTCTTTCCTTTTTTGGTTTGGCAGGCACCAATTTTTCTTCATCCTGACACACAGCTCTTTTGCCCTGTTTCTTCCTGTGTTTGACTCCTGCCTTCTGCTGCCCAGGCCGGTCAGATGGCTCTGATGCTCGCTGTGAGCTCTCTTACACAGAAACTACCCACCATTCTCACCTCGTTTCTACCACCCCACCAGGCATTGCCCCCAGTGTTCATCCTGTCCCTTCTCAGTTGACTATGATGTCTATCAGTAAAGTACCATTGCCTTTTTCCCCCTATAAGCAAGATTATGTAGACCTTTTTCAAAAAATGGCTATTAATGACTGAATTATTAGGTGAGTTTGTGACCTTAGACTGCAAAACCTGGCCTTGATAACTCATCAGAATAGTCTTGCCTCTCTTGGCGTTTGTACTACTGGAAATTAAAAGCGAATTTCAGCTTTGAATGAGCTGTAAATCATTTATCAACCATTCAGAATAACCTGTGCCCTACAGTTCTCACCATTTTAATTAATATTCCCCACGAGCTTCATTGGTGTGAGAAGAGAGAGCGTGTGGTGATAATTCAATTCTGCAGCAGTCCTGCAGCTCAGAGATTATCATTGTTTAATTTTACGCTACAGCACTGTTGGTGAGTGAACATGTGACAAGTTATAAAATAAAAGAAAGAACAGATTAAGGGGTATCTCGTTTTTTTTCAACCTTTTTTTTTAACCGTTTACGAAGTACGATGTTTTCATCAGTGAAACATGCGATCTCACAGTCAGTTTGTTGTATTTCCTCTTCCTTTTGTTTTCTTCATCTACTCATGGAATTAAAATTTGCCCAATTCCAAAACCTTTTTTTTTTAAAGCAGTGCTTGGGTGCACAAGACAGAAAGCTTCCATGAAAAGACAGATTATAAAATTATGTTGTTCGGCTTCCCGCTGCACTCGTTTCCCCAGTGTACCACTTTGTCTCCAATTCCTGAGAGCTTGTGTGACTGAGAGCACTCTGAATCATTTCCCAGCAACAGCAATAAAACACAATGATATACAAGGTCCACCATCAAAATTTGCTGTTGCCATGGTAACAGTCAGCAGTTTTCAGCAAGTGATTCTTGGGAACATTAGTCTGGAAAGATATCTCTATTTCACCGAGGTTAGCTAATCCGTTCATTTAATTTCCCCGTTTGTTTAAGCCGAAATGTCACCGCTACCATGTTATTTAGTAGAATAGATGCCGATGTAAGCAATCTTGAAAGCAAAACAAAACTGTTTTGTAAAACCCTAATGAATGTCATATGAAGCTGGCATGCAAGGACATTCAGCAGTCACAGTTTCATGCCAGTGAAGCCCTTTGTACACTGACACATGCCATCAAAAGATATGGATGTTCCTGTCAGAAGGGTACATGTGTCTTCAGTACAATATGTTGCATGTGACATGTATGGACTTCTACATCAGATGGTTCGTTATTTCATGGTGCAGACCATCCTTGTGTATATGTTTGGGTTACTGTGCAGCTCAATATGTCATAATAAGACTCACATTTAAATCAGGTTACATATTGGGCGATAAAAATACTGTAAGAGTTAGTAATTATTAGTTTTGTGCCATATCATAAAACTGAGACTTGAAAGGTTTTGAAAAGCAGTCGCTGCAACAATGTCTGTGAAACATTCTTGATGTTTTGGGCCATTTGTCAATTTGGGACCAAGATCCAACAAACCACAAACACTAAATTAACTAATAAATGCATTTGTTGGATTTGGAAAAGACAGTGCAGAAACTTTGATTTGCTGTGGACAAGTCAAATCGAATAAGTTAAATCAAATGTGGCACCACGTACTGGGTTTTATGCTGACCGCACATTCAGAGCCATTGGTCATGTGCTTCTCTTACTGGTTTATTGAAGTGGGTGGGAGTTGTTTGGCAAAGGTGATGTCACATATTTCCCTGAATCAGTTTGATATAAAACAGCTATAATCAATATTTTCGCGATAAACCAATCAAACTCAGATATATGTATATATATGTTGTGTGTGTGTGTGTGTGTGTGTGTGTGTGTGTGTGTGTGTGTGTGTGTGTGGGTCCTTCATTGTTGAATGATTGTGTCCATTGTGGTCTTCTGCTGCTGCTGTCCATTTACTTCTAGGATCAATGTGATGTGCCTTCAGAGATGCTCTTCTGCCATCTTTCTTATAAGCAGTGATTATTCGAGTTGGTATTGCTTTCCTGTCAGTTCAAATCAGTCTGGCCATTCTCCTCTGAACTCTGGCATCAACAAAACACTTTCACCCAGAACTATTTTCCCCCTCTCTCTCTTTTTTTTTCCCCTTTTTTTTTTGGACCATTTGCTAATCCCTAGAGAATCAGCAGTTTCTGAAATACTCCTACCAGCCCATCAGACACCAACAACCACACCACATTATAAGACACTTAAATCACGCTTTCTCATTCTGATGCTCAGTTTGAACCTCAGCAGATCGCCTGGAGCATGCTTACGTGCCCAAATGCACTGAGTTGCTGTCATATGATTGGCTCACCATATATTCGTGTTAGGCGTAAGAGTAGGCGTACCTAATAAAGTGGACGAATATAGGAGTGTATGTATACTGTAGTAGGGTAGCATGGCATGACAAATAGTCTGTAACTCGTGCATTATGATTTTCTCTCACTGAATTCCATTCAGCTGAGATCCTCCACTTCACAAGTATTTCCACTGGACAAAACGATGTTGCTCTGACATCAG